CTTTAAATATAAAAAGTTCTTTACAGCATAATTTCATAACTAACTTTAATGATGGAAATAGGAGATTGTCATTAGTGGTTAAACAACAAACGGAGAAAGCGCGTAGTGTTGTTCAAAAACAAAATTTGTAAAAATGGTGAAGTTTCATATCTTTTAGACTTCTGTTACTAGTGTGATACTGAAATTGATTGATGGAATAAATAGTTTATGTAAATATGAACTATATATTTTTTACTCCCGTTGCATCGGTATTTACGTTCTATATTTCTTAATAGTCAGTGATTGTACACAAATGACTCGAACTTTATAGGAGAGCAGTAGATATGAGAAAGTTGATAATGAAGAAGGAGTCTGCAACAGATAGAATCAACTTTCTGTCAATAAAAACAATGAAAACATTCAAAAAAGCAACGTTTAACGATGGTATTACACTCTAGGTAGCATTTATTTGCATGTGGCTGTGACAAATGAATGAATAAGAAGAAAAACATCTAACTAAAACGTTTCAGATCAAAGGTCTACTCCAGAAGATTTAAAGTTTTATCTTATTATTTTTTTTTAGTGAAAATAGTACTTTTCTGTTTCTTGTGTAGAATTGAGACGGGAAGATTGCAAAAGCTAACCTCTATCATACAAAAAGTAGAAACATTAAGGGAAGTTGGCGTATGAGAGTATCAAAAAGCGTAGAGCGGTGAACAATTTGTGTACAATTCCTATACAAAACAACAAACTTTTGATTTTAATTTTTATTGAATGATATCGTTTGCGTTTATCTCATTAAAATATTTAAAATTCTTTATTTCTTACGAAATTTATTCTATTTTACAATTACAATTTATTTGGATCAATTGGATAATTGGTGGACTTTAGAATCCAGTTCAAAACTTTGAACATTTACCAATGTCAAACACATTGTTCAATTAGTAAGAGAGCGACATCTATAGTTCAGAAATCATACAAAAAAATTCATAATTTATTACTATAAACAGCATGATGTTAGATATAATCACATTGTCTACTGTTTTTCCATTATTAGCACATATTTTTAAATTATTCACCGTTTACAATGTTTCAAGAGAAATCAACCTTTTACATCAATTTTTTGACATCTGTAATCAATCTGCAATTTAGCAGTAATTTAGTTTAAATTAGTTTTAAAATCATGAATAGAAAGTGTCAAAAGATTATAAACTAAGATTATTTTAGATAATTAAAATGCCTGCCTGCATTTGACAACAAAAGACGACAAGTACTTGATGTGTGTCCATCACACAGTTGAAATCGGATTAAAATATTGCCAGAAAAATTCGTTTAGGGCTAATGGTTTATATGAATTATTTTTTAATAAATAAAATTGCTTTTTGACGGGTATTTATCAAAAAATAGAAGTCCCCGAGTCAGACGATTATCGTCTATAAATGGTTATGGCAATTTTTTGTATAGGTTTTTTCTCTCTTTTTTTTTTTTTTTGTTCCTCAACATTACGGTTGAGAAAACACCGTTTCTAATCATCGTTGCATAGCAGAAGATAGAAGAATACTCACTTTTTTTTTGTTCTACTCAATATAGGTGTTTATTAATTAGTGAATGAATAAGAAAAAAAAGTAGAAGAAACGAAATGAGAGAAGAAAAATGGAATGAAAAGGAAAAAAGTGAGAAGATAAAAATAAGATAAGATCTTAAATAGACTAGAATATAGTAGAGTTTCATGTTTTTAACATTGAACATAGAGAAAAGAATAAAAAATGAAGATACTAGAAGAATGTAAGTTAGCCACATTACTACTAGCACTACCTTCTATAAATGCAAAATTTTTTATATCATTATCTATCTTTGTTCATTAGCACGCATAAAAAAAAAAAACGTATTTTTTATTAACATAATTTTCTACTTAACACAGTGCGGACAGAGTGAATGAAGTATAAATGAGCATTTCCATGCAGTTCCGCACAGTATTATACGAGTTAAAAAATAGGAACATACAGTACTTTCAATAGAGTGTAAAAATCTTTGTTTTGCCTCTGTAAAAATCATGTGGAATATGGGTACAAATATAAATCGAAAACTATTTGAATATAAATGTTTTGGATAGTTGTATGAGCGTGTATTCCATATTTATTACATACTTTCAAGTGCTACTATACCATACTAGTGAGAAAAAGCATAGAAACATGAATATTTTTTTCTAACATTCAATATTTACTCTATAACATAGCGAAAAGAATTTTAGCTCAAGAGACATTTTTCACTTTACTCTAGACACTTCTATTCTATTATCTAGAAAAATCACTTAAACGTACAATTAATTTAAAATCTAATTAAATATAACATCATTTACGATCAAATCAAAGCGGCTTTCAAACTTCATTTTTCTATACTTTTTCGCACTAGTATAGTAGCACTTGAAAGTTTGTAATAAGTATGGAATACATGCTCATACAACTATCCAAAACATTTATATTCAAACAGTTTTTAATTCGTATTTGTATTCCTATTTCACATGACTTTTACAGGGGCAAAACGAAGATTTTTACACACTGTTGGGAGTATTGTACGTTTCTATTTTTAACGAGTATAATATTGAACAAAATCGCCTAGAATTAATCTAACTTCACCCATCATTATTCAAATATATGGTCTTTATTCCTCTTAGCTTTTGTTGTTTAGTTTAGAAAAAATGGTCTAAAGTAACTAGTAAAAATATTCAAAGTTACGAAAATGAAAAATAAAACTGAAAAACAAAAAAGATTATAAATTCGAACACCCTCTCTCTGTTGTATTATTTTACGATTATGCCATTATATTAGAGGGTGAAAATGAGAGTTCATGAGAACTCGACACATTTCATTTTATCATCTGACTTGTACTTAACGAGTATTTTTCTATTTGCGGATGAATCAGCTCAGTAGACTTTCAATTTCTTATGTTGCTCATTTTATATCAATACGTAGAAATCTTCTTTCAATGTCACATTCTAATGTTTTGGATTTTTGTCATAATAAGTTTTCGTTGTGACTGCATTCGATTCTAATCGTGGTTGAACACAATTATTATGTTGATCTAATTGTTCTATCTGTTGTATCTTCAATCAGTATTGGATACAGTTTTGGGTTCAACAGCGTAGAAGAAGATCGTACCGTACCTGTTGAGTGATGTAATCTATCTCATCATGCAAATAATATATAAAAACATATAAACGAATACACTAATATTTCGAGATTTCCATTGTCTATGGTCAAAAGTTGATTAATAAAAAGTCTGATCTTCTTCATTGAAATTCTGTTACTGAACATAGTGGAGATTTTTCCTTATCAAACAGACAAATTCATTTTTATGTAGTAGAAGCACTTATCTTTATATTAATATTACTAACCATCATTGAGACTTCAGATGACAAAAAACAGTGTTGTTTTGAAAAAATATTTTCTAGTCAATTGTGAAAAAGAAGATACTCAAAAACTTCATTTCTTCAGAAAAATTTTCAGTCGTATATTGTTCAGTGTAATTTGACGAGCTGATGAAGAGAACTACATTTGTTTTGATTAAAAAATGACTCTCCTACTAAGAAAAATAGAGTTTATCTATCGTTTCTGTAGGCTTTCGTCTCAATCACATCATAAGAATTGCTACTCTCTTCCTTCTACTTTTTTGGAAAAATTTTAGCGGAAATAATACTTCCATTTACTCTGAACTTAAAGTCCAAATTTCAGAGCTCTTTCACCACTATATGATCCTATATGTGCGCTTATATCTGAAGACATTTTTATTGTGGAACAGTATCAAGGATATTCAAGATGCACTAGCCTGTTTTGATCCATTTTTTCTTAAAATGTTCGTTCAAGTGAAGAGGACAGTTATAACTACAGCTAAAACGGCAAATGATAGTTTAGATGTTGACATTTACTATCCATCAGTTAGAAGTAAAATATGTCTGCTTCATTTTTATCCTAAATATCAACCCGATTCCTCACTGTGGCAGAATGATAGGATATAATTCTTCGACTTTATCATATTTGGATAAAGCCGAAGAACTGATATTTTTCAACTGATATTTTCTACGCTTTCTAATCTATTGTTTCATATTATTCTTCCTTGTTAAGTATGTAACAGGATGCACGTATACGTCCTAATTCGTATCTATCATTCAAATCTAAATGATTATAAACTATACGAATTTTTTTGAAAGTATCTAAATGTGAGATAAAGAGTACTTATGACACTGTTTATACATCAACTAATTTGTACTAAATACCTTCATATTTATTTCATAAGTTTTCAATTTGTTATTTATCTGTCAGTTTAAATTCAATATCTTTTATTATTATCACTACCCATGAGGAAATGTTATCGACTTTTCACGCGTGGGGAACCGTGAAATGTCAGCTTGGACTTTCACGAAATTTTGTAGTTAAAGAGAGTAAGTTTCAGGACATCGGGGTCATGTAGTTACAACATCAAACACTTGGTCACGCATGAAAAATCTTCATATATGTACACAAGTGAACGATCTTTACGCGTAGCCACTCGTAAAAAAATCGAGACCAGCATCATTTCAAAGAAACTATATCCAATACTGGTTGAAATCAAAGAAATTTCTACGATGTTTTGAAAATCTTAGGAAATTTTTAGGAAATATTAAGTGGGATCTCACTGAATACTTCCTCCCGCACTAAGGGATGACGTTTAATCAGAATTTAAAAACGGATAAATAGTGTAGCCGGAAAAGAATAAGAGTATGAAAAGTATAAACTGCAAAGAAAATCATTACACTTATTGAACCCAGAAAACCTTTCCTAAATTCCAGCAAGCTCTCGACTTACATGGAGAAAAGTACTGAGGCTTACAACGCTTACAGTAACTAATTACAGATAAGGCATATATGCTGGATTAGTTTATAAACTAATTCAAACACTGTCACTTGTGGTTAAACCTGAATATTATTCACAAAATGGATTACGTGAAAAACTGACGTGTAAATAAACGTGAAGGTATTTTTCAAAATGAAATTAGCGAAATTAATGAGTGCATTAGCGCAACATTTTCACACATGTTTGCAAGTGATATTTTTCTACAGAAAATTTTAACGTGAGAAATTTACATATGGCCATTACACACTTAATGACTTTTACCTGTGATCATGTGAGAAAAATATGACGCGAAAAGTTTTCGTGAACAGTTCACACGTCACAAGTGAAATATATTTTTCACGCGTGCGCACACACCGTTTTATGATGTTTACGTGCAACCATAGTTTCATTTCACGATATTTACACGTATGCACGGCATTTTATATAGTAAAATTGTCCCATGGATACCACTTTTTAAGTTTTATCGTTATTATTAGTGTGGATCCTCCGTTAATTGTTATGGTGTAATAAAGTCGCTACTTAATTTTAATCAAATTCTTGTTCATCATATGAATCTTCCTACTTTATGTTCATCTCAGTACCATATGATGATATAGCATATGACCTCATTGATTGTGAGATGTAATATCATATGAAACAGTTGTCGCTATTGTTGATTTGATTATGAAACTTTCTTGGATAATCTAGTGCTTTATGACTATGTTCTTTCCAATGAAAACATGAACCAAATTTCACGCAATCATCAAGAATTGTTGTGTTATTGATTTAACTCACGCACTACGTCGTGGGTGTGTCAAGAGTATGAAATCCTTCCTTAGATTAGTAGATCACTCTGGCGAGTTTGCAAAAATTGCCCTATAGAGAAGAGGGATAACATGATTTTTTATTCGATGTACGAAACCATAATAGAAGTTCATGTTCTTCTATTCTGAAAGGAAGTTTAGCAAGTTTTGTTTGAACGTATAATTCCGTATATGCCACTTAACTATTAGTGATCCTGTGTGAATTCATCTAACTCAATGTCAAAATATGTTTTTATTGCTTCTGTTTGAATTGTGTTGAACAATAGCGTAAATCTGCAAATTAAAATATTATTTTTAAATATACGTCAGATTTATAATCGTTAACATTTAATGCTAAGATATATTGTATTGTATAATCTCGTATTAATATTCGATATTCAGTTGGTTTTTAGCACTTCTTCTATCGATCTGTCAACATTTTCATCCGTATTATCTCTAAAATCTTTTAATTTCACATGGATTTGATTTTAACTGTCATCACTTTTGTTTAACTATCTCATTTGATGAAGATGTAAAATTTAATAATGTTTATTGAATGTCTAATCATTATTTATTCATTTGACTGCACTATTGTTGCACTCTTTCTAACAAGGCTTCTAATTCTGGTATTTTTAGAAAAAAAAACCGATTTCTTTAGAAAACATTCGAGTCAAGAAAAAGTTTTGTCCAACAAAACAATGAGCGTATTCGAGAGAAGAAAAAAAAACCGATCAGTTTTACTAGATAGATTGTTGCACTTTTTTTGCATCTTTGTACATTAACACAAAATGTTTTCACATACTCACCTTTGTTATGCAGGTGCATCGAAGATATCATTTTTTAGAAAATATGTGCCGTTTATAAATTTAAAATTTTTCGTCTAAAATGCAAATAACGGTATCAATCTGTATGAGAGAAAATCTTCTAATATTGTTGATTATGTTGTTTTTCCTCGTGTATACAGTCTTTAAAGCGCAGTTTTATAGCAGAAAAAATGTTTTTGCACTTAAAAAACTCATGTTGTATAGCATAACAGCTGTTATGCTACACAACATTTTTTACAATAAAGTCTGTGTAAAATAACGAAAATTTTGTTTTGTTACTGATCATATTGAGCTTAAAAAAAATGTTAGTTTAACTTTTTTCACATTCAAATATAATAAGCACGTTGTTTCTTTTTTATCAAAATAAAAAAATATCAATTCGATGGTAATGATACCAAATTCGAATTTAATCAATTAAAAGAGTTTTAGTATTTATTATGTACCTTTTCATTTTTTCATTTTGTAATAAAGAAAAAAATGCTCGACACATTTAAACTAAACGTCGTATCATTTCAAAAAGATTTTAAATCGTTGAACCATCTCGATAAGAACTACGCTCGATAGTTAGTTATTTTTGACTTACTCGTTTCCATGTAATCATTACATGAGATAGTTATAAATTGTCATGTTTATTGTCAAGATGTTAAACTGAAACCTTGTCACTATCCTTGTTATTGAAAAATATTCGTTTTGTTAGAATAAAGTTACACATTTTCTTCACTGTTAATTGAATAGATAGAAAAAATGTGTAGATAGAATTTTAGAACTAGTTTAACACATAAATCATAAGTACTACTAAAAAAATATTGTCATCATTTTAAAACAAGAATTTTAAAGAAAATTTTTTTATTTAAATAATATATCAACTGAGATGTACTCAATCTATACACAGATATTATTCTCTAAGTGTTTCTTTTATAATAATATTAATCTCTTTCTTTTTATTCCATTTTTAAATTATAATCATTAATTAAAATTGTTCTGTATTATTATTTTAGACACAAAAGTCCTTTACACTAATGGACAATCCACATTTAAGTCAAGAAATTCATTTGGCTATAGTTATGGAATATTTTAGTGTAAGTTACATTTTTTTTCTTCTTCTTCTTCTTTTCTTATGTATCTGATGTTGTTACTGAGATTAATTTTCATATTTTAAAAAAATTTACAAATGATTAAATTTTCTTCTAGCATTTTCATTAATAAAGCTTTATTGTGTGTATCTATGTGTTAGACTAATGTTACTGTTCTTGCGCATACTTATTTATTTGTAAATGATGCGAAAATTTAAACAAAAGACGAGATGAATACTTTATTTGATGTTGCCTACAAGAGAGATGAGCCGGATACGCTTACGGATCTATGTTTGAACAATTTTTATTGCATGTAGATATCTATCTAAAAGACAAACTAATAAAAATTGATGAAATGATTTAATGAAAATGTGTTTATTATTTTCAAATGAACGATTATATCCAATTATATATATCATAACACAGTTTTTTTTTTTCTTTTTTACATAGAAGAAAAACACATAGACATATACAACTACCATTGAATATCAGTAAACTGACTATGTGACTCTTTTTCTTTTTGTGTTGCCGGCTGTCTATTCTTGCATATAAATCTCGTCTTTAGGGAAAAATAATCTATGTTCAAGCTTTAATAATCAAATGCCTTAATTATTTAATGAAGTGAATACTATTCAACTTGTAGGGCAACTTTTCTTCTTCTACAGGTGTATTATGTTGACTATATCAGATACATTTTTGTGCTTGACATTTTTCTGATCTATCTCGTCATCCGGAGATGTCTTTAGTATTAAAAATTGTCAAAGAAATTCATTTTTTTTTTAAAGGAAAATTTGCTCTGCTCTACTTCGATAATGTATTTCCGTTTATTGTATGTGTATGTATATACGCACAATATCCATTCTTATTTAGTTCTCTTTGTACAATGTTCTGTTCTTTTAATGTTTATTATAGCATAAAATCAAATATGTATCTATGTTTTTTCTTCTATTCTAGTATATAGTACCTATTTGTAATCAATTGTTTCAATTGTATCGTGATTTCAAAGCACGATCCTTCGTGTTACAATTTTTACCAACATTTTTATCAACATATTATAATGTACTCTATGAAAAAGATGATGAAACAAAGGTAAGAGAGAAAAAAAAGCTGCTTTTTCTTTTGACTTAATCGTGCTGCCAATTTTAAAGTTCAATTTTTGTATTAGACATGATAAAAAAAAAAAAGTTAAATTCGTCGTCTCTGATTATGATGTCGTTGTAAAGTGTGTAATAATACGTTTTTTTTAAACCAATATTTATAGTCAAATTGACCGATATGTTTTCTTTAACAAAATCTAGTGAAATCTTGGATTAAGAGCATAAAATTCATGTTAAAAAAATTTGATATATATTTTGTGGTTGATAAACTTCTTTTATTCGATTCATTATACTAGTGAAGTTAATTTGAACACATACACAAGCATGATGTGCTCATCTTCATCTAAATTTCTCTTTTCTTTTCTTTTGCTATACTCTGCTTTCGTATGTTGTTTGACATGTTCATCATTTGTTCTCCTTCTCTTTATAAGACGTATCACCTTATCACATCATATTTCAAGAATAAAGGAAGAAGAAAATGAAACTCTCTATTTCCTGCATGAAACCAACATTTTATGTGTGAGTGTGTGTATGTCTGTGTATGTGTGTGTGTGTGTGTCTATAGACAAAAGTGGTAACACATAATTATCGATAAATCATCAAGTAATTTCGGATCATAATCAGCCAGTTTTACTTCACTAGAGCAAAAGCTTTTAGAAAAATTATAAGAGAGAGAATAATTGTTGTAGTAAAATGCAATTCTTATCAATTATATTAAACATCAACATCTATCAAAAAATTTTTGATAAAACACGGCGAGATTTTGTTTTATATTCATCAAGAACATGTCAACAAAATTTTTTTAATTGCAAATTCTCGTTTAGACACATGTAGAATGAAGTGAGAAAAAAAAAAAACTTCTTTCTGTATTTGACATGCACAACTCTAGAAAGTAAAAATTTTAATGAAATCTCTATGTCATCATTAAGAGAATTATCAACAAGATAGAAATATTATTGAAGTTAGTGAAGTTTTTGATTTTCACTGACGATGCGCTTTAAACTCGATATGAAAATTTAACATATAATATTCTTTTATGAATATCAAAGTATGTAGAAACTTTCTAATCTTAAATCTTCTTAAAAATATTCTATATTGATAAAAATTTATTTGTAAAATACCATTATCGCCGTAGGATTGCTAAAATCATTGAATATCAAATTCAAAGAAGAGTTGTCTACAAATTAAAAGTTTTAGTTTCATGAAATTTAAAATTATTTTTATTTTTAGTGATGTCGTAGTCACTAAACATGTGTTTGAATTTAAGTTGAACAAAAATTTTCTATAATTATCTCATTGATCCGTTAATAGTTTTTGGTTACATACACCTATTCGTTATGAGACCTATATTCTTCCTTTTGTATTAGAATTTCATCTTCTTTTCTCTTTCTCTCTTTCTCTCACTTTACTTTGAACAAAAATGGCACCGCATATGAATTATTTTACTTCCGATCTTTTGCTTGAAGATATTTGAGCTTGGAAAAAAAAAGAAGAAAAGTAAAAAAAAAGAGTACATATCTAATTTAGAAAAAAAAAAGAAGAGAAGAAAAAGAAGAAGAATGAGAAAGTAGTCGTATATATATATTGTTCGATGATAATATGCTAAAAAGTTTAAATTGCATTGTACAGTAAACACAAAGAAATGAAAAAGAGTCAAATTTGAAACACGTCAAACAAGGCTAATTTTTTCCTTTAATGTTAAAAGAGAGAAAGAAGGAAGAGAATGAGAGAGAAATAATAACAATAGTAATAATAATAATAATACTATAATAAATTCCAGTCATCCAGTCATTGACTGGAATTGACACAATCTATTTTTTTTTAGGCAAAGAGATAAATAAAACGTGAAATACTATGTCTAAAAGAAATAAAATAGAAAATAAAAAAAAAAAAAGATGAGCTCTATTTTATTATTTAAAAAAAAGAAAAAGTTATCTCTATCATCATTTAACATAAAACTTCATTCTTATTTTCAGAATGTTTGTTCAACAATCGATACATATCTTGTTGGTTTGTATAATCTAGTAAGTGAAATGTTAATAGACACATATACATGCACGACTACTAACCAATTAGACTTTGACTAATCGGTAGTTCGTTACTGATAACAGTAGCTGCATTTAATTCTGTATCAGTAGCTCTACTACTGAATAGTTAATTGTCATTTACATTAACGCTTTTATTCACTTTAGTTCTTTATTAAACTATTATTGACTTTAACTATACTAACTGATTATGTTCATATTTAAGGGTGTTGTTAATGATACTGTCGATGGAAAAACTTATGAATGTCGTACGTATCCTAGCAGGAGTATCAGAGTAACTGTGAGATGCGTTTTGTGTTTCTTTTTTTTAAGGTGTACCAAATTTGGCATTGCCATCCGTTTATCATGTACCACACCCAGTAAGTATTCAAATAAAACATTCTAAAATCGTTAATGTTTGTACTCCAATTTTATCTAAAGGATCAATATGCTCCCATACCGTTAACACAAACTGCTATATCAAAACATGAAAATATTTGTGAAATGATTCGTTTACAAACATTTATACCATTTGATTCTGCTAATGCTACTACAAGGTAATTTTAGTTCAATTAATTCATATTTGATTCAACTTTTGTTTTAATCTCGTTTATTGATGTAAAAGTAGAAAATCCAAAAGATACAAGCCACAAAAGCGGATCGAGGATCCATATACATGTGGTCACCGTAAAAAAAAGAAGAAATAAACCCTTAACTGTTATAGACCCATACTAAATAGTACAAGAGGAAAAATGAGAGAAGAAGCGGGAAAAAGAAAAGAAATATTATAAATAAATAAATAAGTATACAAGTAAGCATAAAATGTGAGTTGTGTTGTGTGTTGGTACTGCAGATGTGTAGGTCGAGTGAATCAGACAGAAGTAGAGAATCTTCCTGTATAAGCAATATAGTTTACGACAATAACTCGACAATAACTCCAACTGTTACTTTGTCAAGCAGTACTCGTAATAGAAGTGATTCAAGATCCGTTTTAACATCTGGAATCCTGTTAGAGAACTGCGTCATTAGGTTTTCTCTCTCCTTGTTGTGATTGGGACACTCAAAAAAGAAATGGTTCAACTTTTCACTTGGTACTTCTTTGATTCAACTTTTTCTAGTTCAAAATTGACTATGCATTTAGGGTTTGTTGTTGTTTTTTTCTGATAGATTTTTTATATTGGGAACTGATGATTGGAATGCTAAACATTTGCTCGTTTAACTCTCATACTCATAGAAAGACGAGATAACTGAGAGATCGAAGTCAGCAAGAGTATCTTAAAGAATCTCGCGCGATGAAAAGCTATCATTAAAATTGTTTCTGTAGCAAAAATTATTTTAATGCCAGACATCAATATCAAAGTTTTATTCAATCTAAAGCATTATGAAAAATTCTCATTATCTATCCGTAGGTTTGTGTAAGTGTGTGTGTAGGTATGTAAATTTTTTTAATGAAATCACGGTGTATCTTTAGAGAAAGTACACGATTTTTTCATCTATTGTATACCTTGATAAATAATCAGATAGTTTCTCACTGCGTAATTAAGAGAGTTTGAGTGTGATTTAACAAATACATAATTAATTCTTTTTCTCTCTGAATTTTAACAAGACATCATAATTGTCACACACACATACATACACACCTCAAATGTTAATGATCATTCATTTACTATACATTATTCTAATACACATGCACATCCTATTGAGAAACAAATTTTGAATTAATTTTATTATTCTTTAGAGAACAGATCATGTGGTTCTTACTAATACAGTATGGTATGAATATATCATTAATGGATGATTGTTCACGACATGCCTATTTTTCAATGTGTAAAAAGTATGTTTCCTGTCTAAATTGCTAGTATGTTTGTATATGGGAGATCTATTACTGTAGACTAATCGGGCAAGGTTTTAATTTTGATGATGGTATTCCTAAAACATCATCAAATGAAGAAAAACTACAACAACAAACTCAATCGTTATTACCATCAACTGGAAGACGTATAACAATTTCAAGTCGTATTATGAGAGAAATACTTGGAACACTTTACTATTTTAAGTCTGTTTAAATTTGATTTCTAATTTCTATAACCAATCTATCGGTATATATCTGTTTCAGAACAAATTCTTCAGATAAAGAAGCCGGTGAATGTATGAGATTATTAAAACATCGTGCAGATTATGAAATGTTTCCAGATGTTATATTGGTAGGTTAAAATGCATCACAGTCAATGTTCAGATAAACTACTTCGACTGTCTGACATTCTCAAACTTAACGTTAGTTATATCATCGCACAGCTCCTATTTCAGGTATTACTGTTAACTTATATGATAAATATTGATCTTTATTTCGAATTTTGCATTAATACATTTTAATAGAACTTATATATAAGTTAGACATTCTACTAAACCGAAATTTAAAACAAACAACAAAGCATTAGCAAAAGACTAATGTTTTACGTATGAAATTTGTTAAAAAAAATTAACATTAATCCTTTGTGAAGATGTGAAAGATTATCAAACATCTACAGAGATAAGAGACTGGATAATTCTGTCCAGATATATCTTTTCAATTCTATCTATTCACTGCTACTCTGTAGAATAAAGGTTATAGAATAGCAGGCTACAGATGTATAACAGCACAAGATCAGAGATACCTAAAATATTCTGAGGCCAGTATGAATAGAAATAGCTAAAGAATTGCCTAATCGCAACTGCAACAACAACGATTGATATATATATAGCACTCAGATATGTGCGTTAAAAAAATTCGATTCGACTACACAAAAATGTTTGAATTTATTATGTTATTCAGTCATTCTAACGAATGTCTATAATTTTTCTACATCGAAATGAAAAGTATCGCCTACTGAGATTTCAAAACATTTAGAGAGTAAGAAAAATAAAAAGTACATAAGTACAAACTGGTAGTTTCGAACAGCTAGCCGTTCAATGACCATTACATTTTTTGAATTAACAACACATAAATAAAGAAAGCTGAAGCTTTTTCACTATTCGTTTTTCTCCAGATAAAAAAAACTGAACAAAATATAGAAACAAAAACGTAGAGATATTATTTCATACCACTTATCTGAATTGTTTCTGTCAAGGATGCAGTCTTTTTTTAAACGAGAATAGGTGAACGATGGTATCAATTTCGGGTTCTGACCATCAGAAGGACGAACGAAAGGTGTTGGCAACGTATATCGTTCAGGGATAAAACTTGAAATTTTCGAAACAAGTTTGAATTATATAAGCTATAATACTATATGCAAACAGAGAAAAACCTACTTTGAATGTTTTTTTTAAAAGATGACTGAAGCCATGTCATATCTTCATGAATTTGAAACACAACGTTATGAAAATAATAATACAATGGGAATTCCGACTGAACTTCCACCAACCGTTGATGTTGTTAAACAAAAACGAACAGCAACCACTGCTAGATCAATGAAAATTAGACAAAAACATCATCATAAAACAGCAGTAACAAACACGTCACTCTCTCCAGCTGAAGACGAAGAGTCTCAACAAGGTTGATAAAAATCTTATACTAATTTTGTGTATGCTCCTTGTAAACATGCTAAATGTATTTAGATAAATCAAAAGTTTTCTGCTTATCAAATGTTCTTTCAAGTAATATATAGGGCAAATTGCTAAGCTGCTATTCTTGATTGTTTTGCATGAAGCTTATATTATTTAGTGCATGTCTAATAGAGCCAACTTATGGGTACAAGGATTACAGTAATTAAAACAGCTATTCGAAAGGTTAGATATGGACAAAGTTTACACGTGTATGTCTATACGGAAACTGACCTGTCGAAAAAGATGAGTATAATTTTTAGATGAAACTAGAACTTTTAAAGTTTTTCTTATACGTAAGAGATAATCTGATAGGCATTCCTTTTACGTGTTTGCCTCATGTAAAAATACTTTAATTTCTAATGAGCTGTTGAATATTCAAATTTAGTATGTTCATTTGAAGTTTTTCGAATATAAAAAGATGTTTCATCAAGAAATATATATTGATTCAATGTACTGTTTCTCTATTTTCATAGATACATCCATCGATAACATGAAAACAGAGACTATTAGTTACTTAAATTTTGTTCCCGTTCCATCTACAGCGTCTGCCAGAAAAATAAAATTGAATTTATTTCCGTCAAGCACAATAACAAATCCTATAAAAACTCTATCATCAACACAAACGAATAAAATATTCTCGCCAAAAAATGATTATGTTGTTGCATCCGATAGTAATAATAACAATGATATACATCCATTATCTAGACAAACAACGAGAATGTTACCTCCACAACAAACCATTCAAATAACATCATCAATTGATCTAGGAAAAGACAACTCATCACCAAAAACAATACAAAGAATAAAACCATTATCATTAATATCCAGTCAACAGTATTACAATTCACTTCAACAACAACAATTTAAAGAAAAATCAGCAATAATTCCTTTACAACAAAGTGTACATGAGTCAGATACTGATAATGAAAATAACAATGATATTATTGTAAAAAAGCATATAAACATTGATACAGATAAAAATTAATCAGGTTCAACGACACCTTCGTCATTCACACAGCAACAACTCACTGCATTTCCTGTTTGTGTGCATAATTCGAGTTTAAAAACTAATAAAAAATATCATAATATTAGGGTTGATCGAAAACAAAAATAGATAAATAATGATATTTGCGAAGAAACATACCTTTAAACAAAACAGAGGATAAAATCTCAAAAAAAAACAAAGCAATTAATGTGCGGAACATCTTTAAATCTATTTAGGATACTACTTTCGCTAAAAAGAGTGTTGTTTTTTTCCTTCCTTAACTCAATTTAATCAGCATTTATTTTTAGCACATATGTGTATGTGAATCGTGACACAAGTCGATTAGTGTTAGTTGTGTATTTGTAATCATTCCCCTTTTTGGTAGGTGTGCGTGTATATGTGCAAAAAAAAATAAAGGTGTGATTTATTGTTGTTTTGTTTTTGAATTATTTTTATTTTTTGTTATCCTTCCACTTTTGTGGCTGTGACACAAAAATGGAAGGAAAAAAGTCAGGTTGCGTTGTGATATATTTGTATTTATTTGTGTAAACTTTCTTATAGAAAAAAATATATAATGCAATTTTTGTATAGAAATAAACAAGCACTTTTTATAAACACAACACTTTTTACTAAGAAAATCCTTGTGTAAATGACGTTTTTTTTTGGATTTTAAAAGATGACAGAAGCACAATTCTTTATGTACATCCAGATAAGAAAGAAGCTAAGAAGCTAACTTCGATCAGGTAGAACACATGGGCAACTCAGAGACCAATAAAAAAAATTTGGATCAATTTGAATCGTGGGATTTTTGGTACTAAAGATCGACAGTAGAATCTTATTTTATAGTCTAATTTACAGTGTCCATTGAGTATGTGTGATCTTCTTCATTTTCAATGCTAAATAAGACAACTAGTTATGAAATCTATAATACAGAAATAATAAACACAAATTTCTGTCAAACACTAATTAATTTTCTTGAGTATTCGTCCATGTTATATGTATTCGACATATTTTGTACACTATAGTGAAATGCAATCTACTACAAAGCATTCTATACTGTTCATGCGTTTATCTTTATAATAAACGGTTTTTTTGACATATTTTCTCATGTCTATGGCAAATTTTTACTAATAAAACGTATGAGATGCGATTTTCAGATAATAAGAAATAATTGTGCATTATTCACTGATTTTTCTATAGATTTCTATTAACATTATGTTGGTATTGTTGTTGATGTTATAATGTCATCTAAATCGACGAATAATTCGTTTTCAATGTTTGTGAAGTATTTGAAATAGGGTTAATATGTTGCATTTGCAGTGATCAGTAACTCTATAATTCATTAGTAATCTTAAATTTCTTTAAAATAATATCACCAATTTCTTTTTATTGATAGAACATTTATGATTCGATTAAAACTCAGTGAATCTCACTTTTTCTAATATTAGAATCCTTCTGTACTTTTTTGTATCAATTTAACATTTTACAGAGTTGGAGTGAATTGTATCAAATTTATTTTCATTTAGATTATCGTTACAACTTTGTTTAATTATAGTTTAATAAACTATAAATAAATTAAATAAATAAATAAATAAATTTCAACATTTTTATATCAATCGATAGACAAAAATCGGTTATCTCTTTGTATTAACTTTTTTTTCTCCGATTATAAATGTTTCAGCTATCAGCAAAAGACAGAAAATTTTAGACACTAACCAGAATTACTCCAGATGGCTCTATCTCTTTATCACCAGAAAATTTCATTAGAATAATGCACTGAACACGTGTGTTTTTGATTTTTATCTTCTCAACGCGAAACTCTGTTTGTATGATGAAAGAAAAAGATATGCCTAGCTTCCGGAAGAAAAGATGGCAGAAAATAACGAGCAACAAAGACAAGATACTCATATTTCAAATATAGTTAATACTTTCATGCAGAGTTATAGGAATTTTAATGAGAACACACATAATACAGAATGTAGATAAGGACACAAGAATAATGTCCCGTCTATTTTTTTTCGAGATAATTTTCTATAATTGTATGTTTGCGTGATTATGATGCACATTAACCTCCGAAGATATAACAGAAAGAGCAATTCTTAGTTCTCAAGATCATTTATCTCTCTAAGTCACTAACTATCATGGTTCATGAGTTGCGGACGTGCATCTACATATGCAGATTAATGTAGATACAGAAAATGGCCTGGATTATAAGACCAGAAATTTATTGGTGACAAAATGATTGAAAAACATTTTTGTTGGATAAGGATCGATTGAAGAAAGACAAATTCTCACACAAAGAAGAAAATGATAGATAGCTGATAGAAACATTATTAAATAATTAATGAGTTCGAATACAAAAAAATTATTGTTTTACAAATTTTTTCTTTAGCACATCCAAGAAGAGATATGCGTAACTTTGAACTTTAACGAATTCTGATAGGTGTTTGTA